TATTCGATTGTGGATTTAAATCGGAATTCTTAAATTTATACTCGACGCTTTTGAAACGATAATGGGCGCGATTGAAAGCGATTCACTCGGGTCCAATTTGAACAAAGAGAAAAACCGTGTAAGCCCGAATCAAATAACATTGAATCGATCGGTCAAATGAAATTCCAACGAAAGCTGGCGAAATCGACAGATTGCCGTCGCCATAAAGGTCCAATAAATTTCTTTCGGGATGTCTTCTCGCGAGAATGTTTTATAATGGAAAATTGGCTATCGAAAACGCGAATTATTTCCGCGCAAACAGTCGCCTGAGCAGCAATTGGCGATAATGGTGATTATCACGAATGTAATGGAAGAAAATGCGTAACAAGAAGGAATTTTATTCCAAAATTAAAAAAAAAAAAAAAAAAAAAGAAAGAACACATTCACATTAGCAGCTTCCTTTCCTCTATTTTACAATTTTTTTTCAATTTATCGCCCATGACTTTTTTATCTGCGTGTATAAATGGTATAAAAGTAAATATTTGTACATAAACGCAGATAAAAAAGAATTACAATACGATACCGTTTGAATTTTTGTGCCTGTTTGAGTTTTTTATTTAATGATAGGAAAAGATCTTTTTTTAAGGAACTTAATCCTAATCGATCCTTGTTTGAATAAATAAATGTGTATAAAGTGAAAAACATGTCGTACGTAAACTTTAAATGACGCTTTTACTACTAAAAGGCAAAAAATTTTATTTTCTTTACGCATTTTCAATGTTTGATATGTCAAGAATGTTTTCCTAAAACTTACAGTTTTCCTAGGGCAAACACAGGAAATGAAATATGCTCGTACGTGTATAAAATATAAAAATAAAGTAAAGTACTTTAATATTTGATGAATGAAAACACATCTTGAAATTTGATTTTTTTTTTAGTTATCAAAGTCACACTTCACTCGTCAACAAGAATAACAATATTTATGCAAAATTTTCCTTCGCAATTCCATTTTAATCGTTCATTCGCTTACCGACGTAATCGATCAATTTTCTTATTATCGAATGTCACGCCGCATTGACGATCAAGGATCCGCTCTTTCCTTTGTCGTTTACCGACAATCTCGTCGATAGAAAAGACGATCGCTTCTGCAAACAATTTAGCATAAATTGAAATTGGAATGGAGCTCCGATGGATAGCCTCGATCCGATATAAAAAGGATTCCGGTTTTATCATCATCTATATTATTTTCATTTAAATCATTTCTCTATCGGGACGTTCATCCTATGACGATCAAGATATTTCATAATCCGAATCATAATCCATTTTGTAATAAAAATTTTGTTGAAAAAAAAACAAAAAAAGAAACCACTTGTTAATAATAATCGATACGTTTATTCGTGTCAAATTTTTCAAAATAGATTTGAAGAAGAATATATGTAATTTCATCGCGATGTCGATTATATCAGTTGCTTGTAAATACACGAAATTAACAACATCGAAATTATTAACAATCGTGCGAATGTTAGACATGGATAATTAATATCATCGTTCGTGTTGAAAATGCTGTTACAAGTTATACTTTCGATATCCATACATATATGATTGACAATAATGGAATTGCAATATTTAACCAACATGCATGTATAATTATGCATGACTTTTAGATATATCACGTATATAATTTCATCTCTCAACGATACAAACACCACTATAATTTCGGCGAGTGAATCACGGCCATCCCGCAATCAATAAACGGACTTGTACAACTATGATCGCATTAAAACGATGTAAAATTTTATCTTGTTAAATATAACTTCATCGTACCCATTGTGTCCAATTTAGATCCATTTTACCTCAATTTTAATCCGTTACCTCCATTCCTTTTTCTCTCTGAATAATATATACCAGCATAACGGTATATAAAAAATAAATCGGAGTGGTATAAATAACGTGTACAATATTCTCAAGCGAAGAATTACCTTATTACGTCGGTCGGACATCTTGCCTAGCAATACGTCGAAATAAAGCTCGTACGATAAATTGAATAAAATCCACGCGCAAGAAGATTGTAACGCACACGCAATATCGATTCGTTTTAATTTAATTACATTTCACATTAAAATCTCTATAAAATCAAATCAAGGGAAATCTATTCATCCCCACCCACGATCATTCATTTCAACGATCATCCCAATCGTGGTGATTAAGTCAGAGGATTGTTCGTTCTCAAACGGTAGACGCAAATATAATTTTCCAAGATTAACAAGCAACCGTCTTGCGAACGCATCCTCACCCCCATCCATACATCTCACCAAGATAACAATCTTCCATTTGTTCGCTTAACAAATCCACAGTTTTAAACTCAT